GACAAAGATTTGTCCTGACTGTGGGCAAGGCAGGAAAACTCTAGCTACAGAGCAGAGGTCCCAGGATGGCATTAGACTTCACTAATCAGGCCCAGAAAATCCAAGAAACTTTTCTGTGCATGAGGAACTTGAAAGAATGATGTTTCTTGGCAAGGAAAAGACAGGCAATCAATTCTCCAGTGTCCTACTCATCCACAGTCTGGCAGGGTCCCGGAAGCAGGTGAGGGGTAGGGCAGTTCTTCCCCCAGTGGCTGGCTCTGCCACATTTAAAGGAATATGTCAGTGGACTTCCTTGTGCCCCATGGTCTTCTTTGGAGGAGACCTTAGGGCTGTGCTAGGGTCTGGGATTCTTGTCTATCACTTGAAGCTTTTCCAACTTTTCCTGCTCTTCTCTTCCATTAAACACCCTAAAAACCATAGTCACTGGACCTCTCTGAGGGGCTTGAGGGCCATCATCTAATCTAGAAGCACACCTGGTTTTAGGCAAACTTCATTGGTATTTAGTTACATGCTTCTGATTTAACCTTGACCACATTTACAGAAGGCTAAAGTTTTCTCTATGATCCAAGTTTTTCCTGTAAATGAATGTTTTGCCCTGTTAATGAATTTATTGATCAAAAATATCTTATTCATCAAATGTATGTTGTTCCTTATCTAAAATTTTTCTGGAAGCTTAGTGTAGAATACAGCTCTGTAGGCAGAGTTTTCCTGTACCATGGCCTGATCTTAGATAATCACTCAGGGGCTTAATATTCACTACAAATGCTCAGCCGATCGCTCAGGCTTGTTGCTGGGTATTTCTTACAGTTAAATGAGCACACTTTTCTTAGCTATGCTTTGCCATGTGGCCTGGTGCCTTGTCTCAGTCTGGTGTGCCCATCTTGCTCTCTCTGCTTCTGCTGCCAGCTCTCTCACTCTGCCCCTCTTCATCCTCAGTTTGACTGTCCCGCCTAACTTTATCCTGCCTTGCTATGGGCCCATCGGCTTTTTCATTAACCAAATGAGAGCAATACATATTCCCAGTGTACAGAAGGATAAATCTACAGCAGCTATCAACAGTGCTTAGCCACACATTTCTAAGTCAGTTTCTGTTTGCCTGAGTAGCTCTTTAAAAGCGTAGGAAGTGATAATTTCCTTATTTATCACACATACCTTGTACACCAAACCTATGTTGATAGCAAGTCCCATTTTTCACAAACAAGACCCGAATCCAAGTTCCATATAAGGTATGGTGTAGTAGATCTAGTTCTCTAAACAAGAGTTAACTCAATAGCCAGGTGTGCTGGCACATGCCTTAAATCCCAACACATGGTGGCTATAGAAGGACGGGGTAGTAAGTGTGATTGGGTGCGAGAGGGGACATTTCCAAAGAATC